TTTCGAGATATTAATTAAAATAGTTGAGCATATCAGAGCGCGGCGACACGGCAGGCGCGATATACGGCTCGCCGCGGCCGGCAAAGAAAATGGATTGCTCGCGGGCCTGTTTTATAGGCCAGAGAGAATTGGGCCGTTTGGCATACTGAAATGAGTAGCTCCGTGTGTGCGTCCGTGTACGTGTGCGTTCTTCCATTTTCTTCGCCGGCCGCAGCGAGCCGTATATCCCGCCTGCCGCATCGCCGATATGTCCAACTATTTTAATTAATATCTCGAAATTTCACGTGGTTGTTTGAAAAATGATCTATACAATTTTTGTTCACTTTTATGTGTTTTACTTATATTTTTCTTTTCGTACGTCTTACGCGGGACACTCTGTATATGTATATACAGGGTGTCTCACACTCTCCTCCGGGTATTTTGTGGGGGCGTAGAATGGGTTGATGTAAACATAAAAATCCTATACCGTTTTGATAAAAATTTGCAATAAAGTCGAGATATTAATTAAAAAAAGATTAAGGAAAAACGCACGCTGAATGGTAGAGGACGGACCGTTCGAGTCACAGCGCGGTCCAGTAATAAAGCTCGCGGATGTCGCGCGCGGTGATTGGAAGACAATGCACCGTTGTCTATTCTTATCTCGGTGCGGTGCGGCAAGACGTAGGAGCGCAGCGGTATAAGTATAGGCAATGGTGCATTGTCTTCCAATTACCGCGCGCGACATCCGCGAGCTTTATTACTGGGCCGCGCTGTAACTCGAGCGATCCGTTCTCTACTATTCAGCGTGCGTTTTTCCTTAATCTTTTTAATTAATATCTCGACTATTATTGCGAATTTTACAAAACGTATAGGATTTTTATGTTCACATCAACCCATTTTATGTCCCCACAAAATGCTTGGAGGAGAGTGTGAGACACCCTGTATATAACAATTATATACATTGAGTGGAAAATTATAGTATTGATATAATATTATTGTTTGTAAATGTTTACTGAAAAATTTGTTATGAATTCTGAAATATAGACTAATTTGTGTTTTAATTGTACTAAAATATTATATTTATGATATTTAATTTATTATGGTGTAGTATTATATGTAGATATAAATATTAAAACTAAATATAAAAATTCTGCCATATTGTAGATATTTTACATATTTAAACAAATATATAATAAATATGTGTATATTTGCAGAACAGTTTGATTATTTTTTATTTGATGCATTTTATAACATATTTGAGATGCATTCAATAAGAAAATTTATCGTACCAGAATTATTCAAAAGTATTCTATTGGATGACAGCTATATATTAAATTGAAAAAAACATAATACTGTTTTACAAACGAATGTACCCAGCAAACAATTTAGTACCAAATTGCCGCCAAATTGATACCAAATATGACCAAAACTTGACGGCAAATCCAATACCATCTATTATTCCATCCGCAATATGCTTAGGTTTTGTTAGCAAAGCTTGGTGACAAAATCTGACCCCAAATTGTCGCCAAATACCGAGCAAAGTTTGGCGCCAAACTGCGCCGCACAAACCTTGGTCGGTATTTGGCGTCAATTTGGCGTTAGATTTCATCAAGCTTTGTTCGGTATTTGGCATCAGTTTGACGTCAAACTGCGCCGCATAAACCTTGCTCGGTATTTGGCGCCAATTTGCTAACAACCTTTGATTTAGCAGATATTGTGTCCAATTTGATGACATTTTGGCAGCAAAATTTGTTGGGAAAAATTTGCTCGAGCAGATTTGGCTATCTGGGTACATATATCCCACACAGCACGTAATATTGCAGAAATATTGCAGTGATATTGCAATATAGTGGTAATATTACATATCACAGTGAAATATTACAGAAATATTATTGAAATATTGCACCTTTACATATGTCATTGAAATATTACAGAAATATTACTGCAGTATTACATACTTATATCATTGAAATATTACATATTTATATCATTGAAATATTACACTTATATATTTGCAATATTATAGTTAAATTATAGCAATATATCATATTCTAAATAGAATGGTGACATATCAATTGACATATCAATTTCTTTGACATTATAGACATCATTAAAACGTTATTACGGCGTCATTTGAAGTCACCTTCCCTTACAGAAATAGTATTTTTTAAAAGTTTCTTTTAAAATTTAGTATTTCGATTTGTTTAATTTAGATTTTCTTGGATTTTTAAATTTTTTTTTGTTTGGATTAATCATTATAACATTTTGTTAAAAATCTAAAAGTAATTATTACTGGTTCACTGCATTACATCAATATTTATCGCATATCGAATGTTGTTGCATTGTTTCAATATCTATCAGTAAATTATCCAACAAACACTAAGTAAAAATTATATAATTATTATTTGATGTTTGCTAAGTATATTATAATGTACTGTGAACACTATAAAGATACATTATATAAGCATGAATTGTAAGAACATCGTTGGAGTCATCAGAGTCACCGCGTGGGCGCTCGATCGTCAGGTGGTTAAGCAACAGTTTAATGCGGTCAGGACATGGATGGGTGGCCAGTGATTATATTGCTTGGGATCGAAATTATCGCAGGAGGATTTCACGAAAGTTTGGAGTGTATTTGACAACCTTCGATCATTCGAATATTACTAAGATATCACAGTAATATTAAAATGTCCGCGGCAAATGCATCACAGTAATATAATGGTGAAATCACAATGATATTACTGTGAGAAAATCATAATATTTAAAAAAATATACTTATATATTCCTAGTTTTCTTATGTTTCATAAACTATTACGTATCGAAGGTTGTCAAATACACTCCAAAACTTTCGTGAAATCCTCCAACGATAATTTCGACCCCAAGCAGTATACCAATGGTGACCCATCCATGTCCTGACCGCATTAAACTGTTGCTTAACCTGACGACCGAGCGCGCACGCGGTGACTGACTCTGATGACTCCAACGATGTTCTTACAATTCATGCTTATATAATGTATCCTTATAGTGTACATTTTAATATACTTAGCAAACATCAAATAATAATTATATAATTTTTACTTAGTGTTTGTTGGATAATTTACTGATAGATATTGAAACAATGCAACAACATTCGATATGCGATAAATATTGATGTAATGCAGTGAACCAGTAATAATTACTTTTAGATTTTTAACAAAATGTTATAATGATTAATCCAAACAAAAAAAAAATTTAAAAATCCAAGAAAATCTAAATTAAACAAATCGAAATACTAAATTTTAAAAGAAACTTTTAAAAAATACTATTTCTGTAAGGGAAGGTGACTTCAAATGACGCCGTAATAACGTTTTAATGATGTCTATAATGTCAAAGAAATTGATATGTCAATTGATATGTCACCATTCTATTTAGAATATGATATATTGCTATAATTTAACTATAATATTGCAAATATATAAGTGTAATATTTCAATGATATAAATATGTAATATTTCAATGATATAAGTATGTAATACTGCAGTAATATTTCTGTAATATTTCAATGACATATGTAAAGGTGCAATATTTCAATAATATTTCTGTAATATTTCACTGTGATATGTAATATTACCACTATATTGTAATATCACTGCAATATTTCTGCAATATTACGTGCTGTGTGAGGTATGATAATTATTTACAAAAAATTAAGCCACAGATTATTTTAATTTTGATACATATAGAAAATATATTTCTGATGTATCTACATGTATGCGCGTGTATGTGTGTGTGGTGTGTAATTTTTTTTTGTAGAATCGAGTGATGCTATTAGATTTTACGAAAAATCATTTTGCAACTTTATTGTTTAACCTGTACAGGACCGGCCGTTTTTTGGACAATATTTTTAGTTTTAGTGCTAGAACATTTTTGTCCTTGTCAGTGGGTTGAGTTACGAAAACGATGGCGCCGCTGCAGCGCCTAATATTAGGCTTCCGGTCCGGAAAAAAATGAGTTATTTTTTGCTGTATTTGAACTTTATATTATTGTTTATTGTTAAACGTTGTTTAACGTCATTTGTAATAAAAATGTGTTGAAAAGTATGTATAAAACATAATTATAGCTACACCTATGGCGCGACACGCGATCGCACCGCTATCGGAAACATAAACACGCGACATTGATCTTCGCGGCCGCATATTCTCCCAAAATCTAAGAACTAATTCGATGTTTTGCTAATCGTATTCGCTTGTGACGCGTAGTTGCAAAAATTGCAACGTCACTCACTATTTTACACTATCGGGAAAAAAATATTATCTTCACGAGGTCTTATTTACAGTGCCATTGCTGAAAATGCATCTTTGTGTTTTGTTTAGTTGTGTGTAGTCACTACAAAGCGTTTGTCGGTGCGCTAGCAGATATCGAAGTTTGAGATAGAAAATAATTTTTAAGGAAATTTTTTTACTGTTAAGTAAATACAGTAAATACAAATACATAAATATACATAAATAAATACATAAATACAATAAAATTAGTTAGAATCGCCAAAAACCTAAAATTAGGCTTCCGGTCCCGGACAGGTTAAACAATTTTGTCGTAAACGATTTTTTTTTAACTTTTTTATTGAGAAATTATTCTTTTTACGATACTATAAGATTCTATATGTTATCTCGATAATATTTTTGCTAGGTTAGCTATGGGTTATAATGAGTTAAGTCAAATTGAGCAAAAAAATCCATTATTATTTTTCAAATAATCACGTAGATTTTTAGTTATTAACGAAAAAAAATTGTTACATGATTTTGCGCGATAATGTACAAATTTTCTTTAATTAATATCTAAAAATCTATGTGATCATATGCAAAATAGTAGAAGACTTTTGTTCAGTTGACCTAATATACAGATATATAACGGCAGATGGCCATGTTATTAAATATTTATTATAATCATACAAAGGTTTTTAACTTATAAAAATCTAAGCAAGCTGAATTTATTTTTAATGAAACAAATAAGTCATGTTTAAATTATAAATATGCATTTTTCAGCCTCCTAAAGGGATACCTAGTCAAGATGATGTACTTGGAGTTGTTAATCATATTGATCAAATGGTGACATTGTTAATGCTAGAATTACGAGATTTGAATTCACACAATCATTATCGACAAAGTAGTACCGCAACGCATTCTCCATGTTTAGAACATTTGTTAAGTGAAAATTTACTTGTTAAACTTTATGATTGGAGTTTACATACAGGAAGGTGCAGTTTCATTCTTTTAACATTAATTTGTATCATAAATAGTTTTAAGACGATTTATAATTTTACTAGTATATCCTAAAAGCAATTTTTGTTGTAAAACTAAATAATTTCTATTGCAGATTCAATAATGCTGTAAGATTGGAGCAAATAAAGCTTTACGAATTACTAGTTTCGCATAGCGGTACTCTTCTTGCACATGAACCAGTTACGAGACCACTTCTACGGTTATTAGAAAAATGTGCAAATGACATTATGCCATTAGAAGTAGAAAAAAAATTAGTAGTATTGTTAAATCAGTTATGTGTAGCCTTAATGCAAAATATGGCTTTGCTTGATTTGTTTTTTCATCCTACTGCAATCGGGAAAAACAAGTAAGAAATTATTTATTAATACAAAATAGATATTCTACATAAGTGTATAATAATCTCTTTACTGGAAATAAAGAGATAAACTACCAAATATTATATAATGTTTACTTTCAGATTCATTATATTTAGTCTATTGATTGATCATGTTCATCGAGAAGATGGTGTTGGTCAGCAAGCGCGCGATGCTATGTTATTATGCATGTCGCTTTCAAAGAAAAATGACGAAATTGGATTGTACATCGCCGATCATTCTAATATATGTCCTGTAAGTAATATAGTCTCACTTTGTTGAGCTGAATTAAATATATTTGTAAAAATGCTAAGTGTTCATGTAATGTGGCAAGAATATAAATGGTTTTATTTATATTTACTTAGGTATTAGCTACAGGCTTAAGCGGCCTTTATTCTTTACTTCCACGAAAACTTGATATTGAGACAGATGATTGGCATCAATTGACGCCAGACGATGTGAATGATTTATCTGCGCTTATGCAACTTATGAATTCTTTGGAATTTTGTAATGCCGTCGCACAAGTGGCGCATCCGATGATACAGAAACAGTTACTTGAATTTTTGTATCAAGGTTTTCTGGTACCGGTGGTGGGTCCGGCATTATTACAGGTAAGTATTTAACAAAGGAGTAAACAATTGTATATATATACAAAGAGATTCCAATATCAATATTTTATTAAATAAATCATTCAGTAAAATTTAATTTTATGTACTTTCTAAATTATAAGTTCATATGTAAGAACGTTGTTTATAATAAACAATTATTAAAATATTCACTTAATATATATACAATAAATTTATAAAGTAGTGAAATATAATATTTATAATGTGTGTAATATTATTCATATTATGTTCTCTATTGCATGTGGTGAAAGAAGGTATTTATTTAATAACATATGCAAATATGTATTATATGTTGAGATATAATATTGTTTTGCATAGAATCTTATAAGATAATTGTGAAATTTTTAATTGTAAATTAAGTAAGATTTACTATTTTAAAAAAGTATTTTAAATTGTTGATATAATAGCAGTATATAAGCTCATTAAAATTTAATAATTTTAGTATTAGGTGAAGTAAAAAGTTCTGAGCGTTTTTTCGCTTTATTTCGACGATGAAATTAACATAGTTAGGATTATCCGATTTCGATCAAATATGCGCCGTTTTGTTCGATAACTTTTGTCCATTTTGAAGGCAATTTCATAATTCCGCGATTGAAGAAGTCCTCGTCCCTATTGGTAAAAAACTTGACCAGCTCATTTTCACAAGCCTCTCTTGAGGCCAGTTTTGTACCATCAAGAAAATTTTGCAAATGCTTGAAAAGGTGATAATCGCTTGGTGCCAAGTCTGGACTATACGGCGGGTGCAATAGAACCTCC